TATTCTTTTCCCAGTCTCTCAGCCAGTTCATCAGCTTTCTCATGTTGCTCTTATAACCCTGCTGACCAATAATCTGCTTCACTGCACGAGGCTGATATTTGTCTATCCATAACAGACTTGGTTCTCCTGCACAAAAAAAAAAGTTACCTTTACTGTAAAAGTAAATAAATAAAGCAACAAAAAACAAAAAAACTGTACTTTCTTGTAACTCAATTTAAGTAACACAAACAAGTCTACAGGTGGAAGTACAGTAAAATGATCCAACAGATGAACCTAAAGGTGGAATTTAGAGTGTTAGTTAAATTGACATGTGGGTGACTGGACAGAGGAGAAGGAAGGAACCTACACAAAAGAGCAGACAGACAGACAAACAGACAAACAGACAGAAACTGAGTTACACTGTACATTAAGTTGATTGAAGAAGGGAAATGAGGATGAACAAATTATGTTATCAGTTGCACACTAGCCTATGGCTCCTATGACATTTCACTAGTACATGTATATCACAAACATGCACATGTATTTATGTCATCAGTAACTTTAATACAAAGTCATGTAAAGTACCTGTATGCACACAAGAAAAATTATATTCATGAAGTGTAATCACCACACAATACATGTAGGATACTCACTGGTGTGGAAATTTAAGGCATATAACAAAAGTGTAAATTAAATTTTCAGTGAAGTCAAATACAGCAACAACAACAACAACGAAACCATAGTTTCCTTGTCCAGTATTGTTTAGCTGTCAAGGAAGCAAAGACATCCTTAAATCAGTTAAAAGGTCTCTTAACAAAGAAACCTTTAATGACATCTGCATTAAGAAATATAAGCTTACTCTTACTAACAAAAACAGCTCTATTAGAAGCCAACAAACTTGCAAAATAAATATATGTTTTAGTATAATTATTTTTCAGTTCTTGTTAGTTTCCCATACAGACTTGATTGTGTAAATTTACGCAAATTTGTGGCAAGTTTTCCACGTGTTTTTGCAGTAAGCTGCACCCCTGATTTGCTACAAAAATTTAGGAAAAAAAGTGCAGCTTATATGTTTGTGTTCACAGTTTTTTTCCCCCTGTTTTGAGCTATGCATCACAATGTACCTTAGAAAGTTTACTCTCCCCAGGATTCTGTCCCGTGATAAAATCACTTGTTTTCTTGGTCATTGATTGGGTACCTTTTCCACCAAATCTTTGAATCAAATCCGCGGCCTCCTCTCTCTCAATACTTTCCAAGATTTGCATAATAACAAATGTCAGTCCATCCAAACAGTTTTCCACTCCCTAAAAATTAAATTATCACATGCATGCATGATTCAAGATGTGCAGACATAATTAATTCTTCCCTTAAAGGCCTCCTAATACTGTCCAGACTGAAAAGTTATAACTGGTGAAAAAGAGAAAAAACTTTGTAGATATACTATAAACATCAATTTTGGGATCAATATCAGCATCTGTGCACTTACCCCTCTCCTAACCCAAAAAACCATCAACTGATAGCAAGTAAGGGTTAGGGAAGGATTAGGGGAGGGGTAGGTAGGCGGTTTCTCAGAT